ATGCCAAAGTCAGGTTCTTACCCACCAAAGCTTATGCTCCCAATACTTCTGTTAGTCTCAAAGGTGCCACAGGACCCTCTGTTGCTTTTTAAAAAAACTAAGAGGACCATGGAAAGATGAGTTAAGTTGCTAACAATCTTTTTAAAAATAAAGCGTCTCCATTCTCTTCCTTCAGTTTAGAATTCCACTTACTGTGCAATCACATCTCTTCCTTTGATAATCTGCTTGATCGCTCTCTGTTGAATAGCTGATGGTTTCTCAAAGCCTAGAATGTTGTTTTAAACAGAAAGACCTTTTAACATTTCTTTCCATGTACGTATCAAAGTAGTGTTAATATTTCATAAATCAAAGCACTGAGCGAAGTGTCAGGAGGAGATTTTCAAAGGCACAAAGGAGAGTGGGCGATGCACAAAGTGTCTGTTTAAAGGGGCGTTATTAAACCGATGTAACTGTGTAGACACGTATCAGGCTAGCTTGCCCCAGTGACCGCAGGAGGCTGACCCCCTGCCGTGTTGGCACGGCCATAACAGCCTCGCCCCCCCGAGTGTGCCCGGGCTTAGCTCCAGCCTCGCCCCCCCGAGTGTGCCCGGGCCTAGCTCCAGCCGCTTTTACGGGTTTAAGTTACACGGGGGCAACTTCCGCGTCGAGCCCCGCGAGGCGCCTGCGAGCCGCGCACACGCTCCACGCTGGGCCCCATTTTGTGCGATGGGGCCGCGCGCACCCAGGAGCCCGCGCAGAGCGAGAGCGCGGCCAAAGCCGGGAAACGGCTCCACAGAGCCCCCCCCCCAGCAGAGACGCGCGAGGGCGGGCCAGGCCGCGGGGCCTCGCGGGAGCGCCTCGCCCGTCCCGTCCCTCAGCCCCGTCCCGCACCGCACCGTAGGCGTAGATGCCGCGCAGCAGGTCCTCGCGCAGCCCCATGGTGTCGAAGGTGGGGGTCACGTCCACCTCCTCGCTGGTCTCGAACTCCACCTTGGTCATGTCCTCCTCCTTCAGCAGCCGCTTGCGGGCCGAGCCCGCCGCGCCTGTCGCGCCCGACATGGCCGCTCCGGCTCCGGGGACTCCGGCCGCGCCGCCACACGACCGCCGCT